AAATCTAAAAATTGGTCAAATTGTCTTTACTCTTGTTCTTCAGCCTCTTCAAGATCAGTTGCCAAAGTAATCCCATATGGCAAAGTATGACATTTCGTTGAAATCTCTAACTAAATTATTGAACTTTCTTCACTCACTATACTGAAATGTACCCAGTGATCCTCGAGAATGAGTAGACATGTTGAAAATTCTCTGGATGTACAATATACTGTAGTAAGTTCAACTCATAAAATTATAAAAGAGTTAGTTTTATACGATTATAACTGCTGTATAGCATCGAATCTGACATCGATCGATGACCCAACGTCGATCATCAACCTGAACATCGGGGCTGCCCTGATATACTCATATTTGTACGATGCAAAGAAAGAACATAAATATATTCAATACGGATTGCATGTAGCAGACTATGTATGCGTGTTGGGTTGGAATGATCTTATTCAAAAAGATGTTTATAATCATATGATAGAACGTATAATATACATAAAGTAAAGATTTTTTGTCTGAAATTTTCAAATAAATATATAAGTTTTATCTAAATTAATTTTTATTTTAATTATTGCAATTTGAACAGAATGTGAATGATATTGTAAAAATTTTAAGCCAAGAGATTTGAAATTTAAATTTAAAACCAAATGATTTAATTCTTTCAGTGATTCTAGATACTGAAGAAATTAGAGAAAAAAATCCTGAATTTTTGCATATGTTGCATGATGCAAATTTGCTAAATATTTTTGAAGAAATAATTCCAAGATTACTATTGCCAGGAAAACTATCAAGTTTTATTAAAAAGTACCTTAATGAAAAAGAGATGAGAATCTCTAATGAATATAAATCTTTATATACTTTGACAAGAACCTTTATTGATTCAATGTAAGTTATATATTTGATATTCTGTAAGAAATAGCCACACTTATGAAATGTCTTTAGATTATATGGGTGTCACAAAAAAAAGTTCAGAAATCTTATTAAATAAAATTTTAAGGTTTTCCTATTTTGTCACTTATATTATCACCTATATGATATATTTAACTAACTTATTGGTACAAATTGATTTAATATAGAGCTATATTAAGTTTAATTCATTTATAAATATATTTATTTAAAGTCATAGTATATGAAAAAAAAGAGAATATCAAAACAATTCACCAAGAATCAATGAATCTACCTGGTCATATTGTGCAATCGATGCAATAATGAAGTTTATTAAAACTGATATGGAGGAAGAACCTTTTATTTAATGGTAATTGTACATTATAATATCATATATGTTTTACATAAAATTGCATTTATAAATAAATTTTGTTTAGAGATCATGCTATAAGTCATATATTTGCCAATAGAAATAATTCTGATAGCGATGGGCCTATCAAGAAAGCTGATGTATTTGGCACTTATTACTGTGAAAATTCATGATATAATGTTAAACTATTTTTTAGAGAAATTTCTGGGCCTCTTTTTTATTTAAATAGTTCTGAAAAGTTTTATGCTATTAAAAATCAAATTAAGTTGAGAAAATGTGGAAAAGACTTATTTGAAGACTTTTGTAGATATTACAGAAAAACAAGAAACTTGCTAAGTTTAAAAATATTAATATT